ATATGGATGAAGATGGCTTTTATGAAGGTATTTTTTTTTCATGCATATTCAAATCAGTTCACCTGTCAAACATGCTCCTAATTGTTTCCTTCGTCTCCTACCAAATTAGTTGCTAAAATTACCCTGTCATCACTGTGTTAATGAACAGAGTTTCTGCACCAGCAAAGTCTCTCCTTGCAGGCATAGCTAATTATAAGATATTTTATATTGTCAGCTTTTCCTACTGGCAAGATTTAAGTTGACAAGAAAGCTTACTGGCAGCTGTGTGTTTTGCCTCACTGAGCCTTTATATTCTCAAACTGTGAATGTTGTTTATGTGCAGTTTTCACTTATATCTTCTTTCTTACGTGTCCACTGGCAAGGCATTGATATGAAGATGTATACTCCTTCAAGGATTTTAATGCCATTGTTCTTTCTTACTAGGGGAACTTCTAGATGGACAAAGAGGACTAGTCCCTTCAAATTTTGTGGATTTTGTTCAAGACAATGAGACCCGTTTATCAAGCACATTAAGCAGTGAACAAGATCAGAATTTAATCAACCATTCGGGTCCTACTTTGGAAGGAGACATCTCAGAGATAAGTCCACCAACTCACATAGACTCCAGTGTAATCAGCAATGGCGCAGGGACTCTGGATGTGAACATTGATGAAATTGGAGAAGACATTGTGCCTTATCCTAGAAAAATCACCCTTATTAAACAACTAGCCAAAAGTGTCATTGTGGGCTGGGAGCCACCAGTAGTGCCACCCGGATGGGGAACCATTAGCAGCTACAATGTTCTGGTTGACAAAGAAGTACGGATGAACATAGCCTTGGGAAGCAGAACGAAAGCTCTTATAGAAAAGCTTAACATTTCTACTTGTACATACCGAATATCAATTCAGAGCATTACCAACAAGGGTAACTCCGATGAACTGCAGTGCACTTTGTTAGTTGGGAAGGATGTCATAGTCGCTCCCTCTAATCTTAAAGTGGACAACATAACCCAGATTTCTGCTGAGCTGTCCTGGCTCCCTACAAATAGTAATTATAGTCATGTGATCTTTCTTAATGAAGAAGAATTTGACATTGTCAAGGCTGCTAGCTACAAGTACCATTTTTTTAATTTGAAGCCCAATATGGCCTATAAGGTGAAGGTCATGGCAAAGCCCCATCAGATGCCCTGGCAGCTTCCCCTGGAACAACGAGAAAAAAAGGAAGCCTTTGTGGAATTTTCTACGTTGCCAGCAGGTTGGATATTTTTTTTTTCTATACCCCAAAACTCTCCTGTTAAGTTTCTCTGAAAATTCTAGATAAATTAGTCTAACCTTTAGCTTTATGCTGTAATCCCTGTCACATTCATGAGCAGACTGGGGATTATTAGATTGCTCTACGGTGTCTAAAATTAATTCCTGTCCTGTTTTGTGCTCTTCTTTATTCCTGGGTAAGGACTGAAGCATTTTTAGGAGATAAACAAGGGAAAGCCATACTTATCGTCATCACAGATCACATGCTAAGTGTTTTGTCAGATTAACCTCCATTTGTATCTAATTTGTCCAGTTATAGTATTTGTGGTAGTAATTTATTTTCGTTGGTGTGAACAACACTGGTTAAAAAGCAGTTATGACTTCTGACGTGTTATTTGTATGTTATTTGTGTGTCTTAAAACACTTTTCACAGGGAAGATCCAGCCCTATTCTGTAATTAAAAACCACACAGACATTTTAGAGGACCACAAAATCATTTAGGGGATGTAAATACTTGTTGGTTGTGAAGTTGTAATCACATTGTACAATTTGAATTTGTAAAGATAACAAATTGGTTGTGTGTTTGGGAAGTTTGAGGTTTTTTCCCATCTTGCTTTTACATTAGGAATGTTGATAAGTGTTACCAGTCATTTCCCAGTATTTAAGGAGACTGAAGCAATGCTGAAAACTAGACCTGAAATATAGTGCATTTAAAGGTTAATCCCATAATTTGGGGGGTGTATGGCATTACCTGAAAACTTCTAACATCTCTCCTTATAAATATATCTAGCTGAGGTCATCTCATCAAGGACCAGTAGAAGACTCTATTCAGACTCTCAGGGCACTGAAAGCCTCTGAAGCAGGAACAGTCTAGTACCAGTGACCCTGGCAAGTGAAATTTCAACAGCATCTACTGTGCTGTGGTTTCATTGACTCCCTGCTGGGATTTGATTCTAGCAAAGGGGCAGGAATTAGTTCTGGTCTCTTCCTTGGCTTGTGTGACTTGTATGTAAGCAGACGTGCAGGACAGTTATCCTGGTTGAGTAACGAGGGAGTTAAGCTTATACGTCTACTGCTTTTGATGCTGTTGATTTATAGTTTCAGTAAAAATGTCCTCAGCTTAGGCATTTACTCTTTTGTCTTAAAGCATTTCAGTGAGATAAGTAGCAGCTGTTACAGAATTTGGTAGAAGCAGGGGCATTTTAAACTTTGTATGTGTTCTGTGGGACTCTGGGGATACTGCCTAGATGGTGGCTTGAACTTATTAGATATGTTGACGACGTTGTTATTTGGGAAAGGCTTTTCCAGGCAAGTGTTCTCAGGCCAAACACTTACCATGCTGTATCTCCCTCTAGTTGCTGAAGTATGCTAAAGCAATAAATGAGCTTTTCTCTGTTGAGCTAGAATGCAGCCAAGCTTCTGCTTTTAGATCCAGAGATCCCAGTTTCTTTCCCAGCACTTCACCTCACAAAAAGCATTTTTAGAAAAGCACATCAATTTTTCACTGTTATATAACAAAATAAAAGAGCAACTGTGGAAGTGGTTAGAGGCTCATGTTTGTATTTCCAAAGTCATTTAAACAAAGGGAAAAGGATGCCCATGAAATCAGTCGGCAATGGGAGTTCACATCATAGTGTGTCACGGTTTTTTCTCTTGCAGATATTACTGGCTTCAAGTAATCACATCTCTCTTCTTCCAAACTACAGTTAAAAGAAAAAAAAATAGAGAAAAAGTCTTCAATGTGACTCATACTAGTTTTTCTCTCAGACTCTAGATTATTTTTAAATGCCTTCAGTTGATCTACATTATAAGGGACATGTTTCAGAGATTATTTTAGACTATGCTGAAAGAGCAATACAGATACTGTGCGTGAAGGGAATCTTTTGTTATTGTGCTTTTCTCAAAGATGCATGGGGGTGAGTGATGTCCCATACAGCTTTAGTTGTGGTGAATGTCAGGTTTAGCAGACAGTGCAGCACGAACTGCAACATAACTGCCCACAGGCAGCTGCTGAGGTTTGTACTGACATTTTTCTAAGGGCTTCAAAAATGTTTACAAATGAATACATGTGTTCGCTTTATTTGAAGCTCAGAAGCTCTGCTCTTTACTAAGGGTTTCAGTGATATGCTTATAGAGAAAGATACCATCAGCCACTTACACCTCAAAAGGAGTGGGGATAATGAGTATTTTAAAATTTTCATACTGCATCAGTTTCGGGGTTTTTTTAGGCATATGTTAGGCAAAAATGAACTTGAGATAACTGCTCACATTTCAAAGCTAGAGAGAGCAGTTGCATGAAGAGGACAAGAAAATTAGATGTCACCCTTTCATTTTTCTCTTTGCATAGATACATCGTGTTTTGCATGATTTTTACTTGAAAGCACATTGCTTCCTGTTGGACAAAAGCTAGGCGGCAGCTCTTTAGTAGCTGAGAAATTGAACTCCTCTTCTTGATTCATCAAAGCATTAGCATTGCTTAAGTTAAAATAGAAATAGTTTTCTTTTGAGTGCTCAGATCTAAAACCAGACAAAAGTATGGACAGGACTGGGACCAATGGGACTGTTATGGTTTTTTGAGCTAATTTAGGTAATAAATTCATGAAGACCAAACTGTAGCAGAATTCTGAAACAAACATTTATGTTAATGAGCAAGACTATGAAGAGTCATCAAGAGTAATTTCCCATTTAATGATGGGGGAAAACAGAAACCACACTAAGCCTTGGGCATTACAGTGTACTAAACCTATCTCTGTTACAGCCTCAAGGCAGACTCTTTGGAGATTGTTTAGTTTTGGGAGAATGGGAGGAAGGTGACTTCCCCTGCAGGAGAAGATTAATGTTGTTGTCATAGACAAGATACTGGACCAGATCAGATGCATTCTTTCTTGTAAGCTGAGGAGCTTTGCTGGATTGGGAGTGCTGGCTGGCAATAAAATAGGATGGTCAGGGAAGCTGAAATTCAATCCTAAATCAAAATCGACATCTTGGCCAAGAATAGTATTAGGCCAGTTGCATACTTTGGCTTTGCGAGTTAAAAATACATTATAGGTGTGAGGGATGGTGTAGGCACAACTTCCATGGTGTGCCTGTAGTGTCCTGAACATGACCATAATTTAATTTCCCTGCCCACTAGAGGATGAAATTCAGTGAGAGCAAACTACTGAAAAGCACTGATGGTTTGCCAGCTTATCTGGAGGCTGAGGTTTGTGTGATATTTACACTTGTATCATGATCTGTTTGGTAGCAATGAATACACACAGTTAAAATATTTGTAGCTTTTCTGGTAGATGAACAGAAATTGGTTGTGCTTAGTTCACTGGCAAAAGCAAACTCACAGCAACCAAGGTTTGTATTCTCCCAGCTATTAGCCAGAGAACGGCTACAGCTGAAGCCTGCTTCTGAAATGTTTCAGCATGAAACGCTTCTCGGGGTTTGACTGTTAAATTAACACAACGGAATGCCTGAAATATTTATGAACTAATAACCTCTGTGGTATTTTTACTTTGGCTTTCTGTCCAAAGTAGAGCTATTTATAGTAGGGTAATAATGTATTGTAATGAAGGATGTACTTGGTGTGCTATTACACTAACATACTGTAAATGCCTTAAAAGCTTAGTAGGCGTATTTTTTTCTTCCGTGCCGAGAAAAGCCTTTGAGTCCTTTAAATCAGTGTGCTGCTGGTTGAAAAGGGTAAAGTTTTGGCTTGCAGTCTGCATTGCACCTGAGTGTCAATGTGCTCCTGGCCCATAAACTGTGACTTGGAGCCACTGCTAGTCCAGAGAGGCAGAATTTGAAAGTGATTTCTGAGTACGCAGTGTGCACTCAGTGCAGAGATATATACCAGAAAGGTCACTTGCTATTACCTGCTGCAGTTTTCCACTAAGTGCCACTCTTGCGCTTTTTTCCCCCCTGCATTTTTCTGATAACATCTTCTGCATTCAGAGTAAATAACAGTTATACAGCCTGGAGGGATAAAAATAGGTCCAGAGCAAGTTGCAAGTACAGCCCATATTGCAAAGAAATATAGCTTACTTCCTGGCTGTAAGTTCAGGGTCAGTTCCTGGCTCCACGACTTGCTGAGTGTATGCTTCTGTTTTTACAGAATAACAGCAATAAGGATATTTTGTCATCTTAAAAAAAAATGCTTTGAGATCTGTAGTTCCCAACCTGCAAGTATATCAGTTGACATACATGCTTCTGATCTGAGGCTCAACAGTGACCAGTCTTGTCTTTCTTAGGTCCTCCAGCTCCACCTCAGGATGTTACTGTCCGGGCTGGGTCCACACCAGCAACCGTACAGGTGTCCTGGAAACCCCCAACTCTGACAGCAACAGGAACGTCCCACGGCGCCAATGTCACAGGCTACGGTGTTTATGCGAAAGGTCAACGGGTGAGTTCTCCTTCCAGTGTTACAGTGACCGTCTACCGTAGGTGAATTTCATCTGACAGGTAAAGGCAACAATAAACATGTGACAGCACTTGAAGGTGTGCAGGGTTTTCTCAGCTTTCAGTAGAACCCACACGTTTGTTTGTGCATAACTTGCTCATTAGCTTCCTTTCTATAAGCACTTAAACTTTTGGACAAATGGGTTGAAAGGATTAAAGACAACTGGTGGTGCTTGGTGTGGAGCCCTAATGTGGGCTCTTGCAGCCCGCTCTGTGTTGGCAATAACTCACTCCACGTTAAGACGTTGAAGGTTGTACTGTAGTGGGGTAGAGGGGTGGGAAACAGATGTCTTCATGCTAGTAACTCACTTGTTTGCATACTCAGGTGGCAGAAGTGATCTTTCCAACAGCAGAGAACACATTGGTGGAGCTAATGAGACTGAGGAGTTTGGAAGCAAAGGAAGTTACAGTTCGAACACTCTCTGCACAAGGGGAATCAGTGGACTCTTCTGTTGCTGCCATTCCGTCTGACCTACTGGTGCCTCCAACCCCTCACCCCAGAACTGCTCCCAAATCTAAGCCATTAGCAAGTGCCGGAGCCCCAGAAACCAAAGAAGAACATTTAGGTCCACATTTAAAAATGGATGAGTCATGGGAGCAGACTCGTTCGGCATCCCCTGTTCATGGACACACGCTCGAGCCACCTGCCCCTAATTTCCACAGCGCGCTTCAGGGAAGGAGGTCTCCATCGCCTAACCGAATACTCCCTCAACCTCAAGGCACACCTGTCCCAAATACTGTCGCAAAAGCCATGGCAAGAGAAGCTGCACAACGAGTTGCAGAGAGTAATAGGGTAAAGGCAAAGTTTTTCTTAAGGTTTTTTTTGGGGGGCTAGCTTTATTCATTGTGACACTTTCCATCAAAGAATTTTTTTATCATATGCTTTAAGGAGCAGCTAATCATTCCTAAACCCTGAAGATCCATAGCTTGAGAAGAAGCAGTGTGCTTAAATTCTGTGCCATCTTCCACAAATATCCTTGTAACCATAAAGAGCATTGATCAGCCTTTGATCAGCATAGAAATCCAATAACATCACTAGAAACGTTGTCTCCAAAAATGCAGACACTTCTGAAAAAAAAATAGTAATCATCAAAGTTTGTGCTTGGAACCTGCAGGAACCAACAGGGAGGCTTATGCCTGTGTGAGAAAAGTCAGCCAAGTACTGAAGTACTTTGAAAGAGACCAAAACAAGAAAGTGAATGGGTCCAGAAGTAGGCAGATAGACAAAAGTCCAGAGCAGACTTACTGTGAGAGCTAATCTTTTAGACAGTTTACAAAATGAGGACAGAGTCTAATTTCTATAAGGGAATCTAACCAGCAGTCATATAAAAGACATGTCTGTCTTCTCAAACCATCTGCTTTTTCAAAATAGCAAAGAGCAGTTTAGATGACAGCGTACCAAATAGTGCTCTGCTTTCATGGATCCACAGGCAATTTTACATATTTGCTCTCCAGGAGGGCCCCTTTCTCAGCACTGCACCTTCACAGATGTTCACAACTGCTTCAACAGAGCTGCCATGCAAAAGCTTTTCATTACAGCTCCTTTTGTAGCTGCTAGAAGCACCACTGCCCAAAGGAGACTCCTTGGTTTTGGGACCACCCGTGGCTGCTGCAGTGACTCAGATGTTTGCTAGTTAATTTAAATCCCATATTTGAGGCCCTTGGGTCAGCACAGCTGATGCATATGCATCCTTACAATGTGCTCTGGTTTTCCTACCCAAGCATACAATATTTAAATACTCACAGTGCCCTGGGCAGTTACTTTCTCATCACAAGCTGCTCACAACTGGCCATTACTTGGTTGAAGCTCTGGTGTAACTTTTTTCATACATTTTCTCGGTCCTTCATCTGGCAGTCATCAGTTGTTATGTCCAGTCTTTTGGGAAGCTGAATAATTCTGGATCAATAAGGCCTGCTAAATATATATATATATATGCATATATATTTTTCTTTCTTTTGCTTATAAATAAAGAAAACTGGAATAGATGTAATAGAGGGATAAAAGGCAATTTGTTTCTTTGGCACTCTGAGGTGAAAGTTGATTTAACCACCATATAGGGGAACTGAAATACATTTTCTCTTTTTGAAAATTGCTGACATAACATATGCTCTGGACCATGTTTAATTGCATTAATTTTAGTGATGCTTGAAATGTTTAATTCAAGGATTTGGACAGAAGTTTACAGATGGATTCACTCTAAATTAAGTCAAATTCTGCCAGTGATATTTGTCATATTTAGTGTCCAGTAGTAGAAATTCTTCCCTTGCGGTAGGCTGCTGCAGAAGAAGCTGTGTGTCCTCTCCCTGCCCTTCCTCCAGCCTGTCAGATGGCTGATGGTTATTGTCATGAGAGTAAGCAGCAGGATTCAGCAGCTGAGGGTAAGAGTCACCTCAGAGTAGAGGAAGAGCATGAAGTCTCATTCTACAGCTTTTTTTGTACTAAAATAAAAAAATGCTTTAGTGGCTAGGTTCTTCTGCTAACCCTCTGCCAAGGGAAAATTCAGTGTCCTTATTAGCAGCTTCTGACTGTAGAACACCAAGAATTTTGACATAAGTGGTACAGAGAAGAAAGCTAGCAGCTGAGTTGATGGTCACATAAAAGCACATTATTGTTTATGAGAGAGAGTAATATGACAAACAATTGTTGAAAACTCCTAAAAGGTTACAGTTGGGGAAACTAACTTTGTTTTAAACCATGATTATATTTAAATGTTGTGTTCTTGAGTCCTTATGTCTTGTATTTGTGACTCCTGGTTGCAGGAACAAGTCTGCTTCACAATTTTCCTTTTTTTTTTTTTGTTGCTTTGCTAGATGGAGAGGAGGAGTGTTTTTATCGAGAGGAGTAATGCAGCTCAGTACGCTAACTCCGATGATGAGGAGGATGGCTATGATTCTCCTAATATCAAACGAAGGGGAGCTTCGGTTGATGATTTCCTGAAAGGGTCAGAACTTGGAAAGCAAGTAAGTAGCCAGGTCTTGTTATTGTGTCAAGTATCCAACATGAAACGGGTATTTCATGAGGCTCAGCAGGCCTTCCAGGTCACCATCTGATTATTGGAGCCATATTGGTAAACAATACAGAGAAGCAGCTAAATTCTGGGCAGGTAGATGAATGTCCTGTTACTGAAGCATAAGTTTGTTACATACCCATGGGAACTGATCTGGTACCACAGAAATTATTTCTTCATTATTATTACTGAGGGAAGGAGTAATTTATAGCATTCTAGTACTTCTTGAATATTTGATTCTTCAGATATTCTACTGCAATCTGACAGATGCCTCCATTTGAAAATTTGTCCTGGGAAATACAGTGAGTCTGGTTTATGATCTGATTTGTTAGATGTGACGTTCGATAGAAGCCACTCCTATTTAACATGAGCAATTCAGTAGGACGTACTTTTTCCTCCTTATCTTCCAACTAATTGGAAACGTATAGGAACTTGAAATATTTGGACTAGTTTTAAAAGACGATTAAGGTTTTAGCCAGTCTGTTCCTACAATGTTTAAGAGAATGAAAAGCTTCAAATTCCATCGATCAACTAGCTATATCATACAATGATGGTATCATCCTGTAATAACTAAATGTTGATCACTTTTAAATTACAATGATGTGATGACACAAACAGCTGTGAAGATCAGATGATACGTGACTTATCCTAGGGCTTTTACAGTTGGTCAGCAAGTCCATTGATACACAAAGGGCCTCTTTAAATCAGGGGAATTTAATCAAGACTAAAACTAGATTTGGTGCTGTGAATGCAGATATCCTTTTCTGTATCACTTATAGGACTTAAGATTGGATTTCTTGAATTGGGAACATAAACGGGCAAAAAAAATTTGTACATCATCTCTCCACTAGAACAGAGCAGCAAGCCATATGATGTAATTTATATGTGGTTGTTAGTGCAATATTCCAACCTAAGAAATGCTCTAGTCCTCATTGGTGTTATATAAGGATTTTCAGTTTTTATAGTCAGTGAAGTTTTTTCTCTCTCACCCTGTCAATTAGCCTCACTATTGCCATGGTGAAGAGTATCATACAGAGAGCAGCAGAGGGTCTGACTTGTCTGATATTATGGAAGAAGATGAGGAAGAGTTGTACTCTGAAATGCAGCTGGAGGATGGAGGAAGGCGACGAGTCAGTGTGACTTCACACAGTGCACTTAAGGTAAGTGTGACTGCAGAGAAACCTTAACAGTACCTCCATATTTTGATTCTTCCTTCAAAGCATTTATTTTAGTCAGTTATGGATTTTGCAGACCATTAAAACTCACATTGTCATATAGACCTAGAACTGGGATGAACATTGTTTAGGATGTCAAGGCCACTTTAACACTTTTTTTTTTTTGCATTATTTGATAGCTAATCTTTTAACTAATTGACTGTTTTCCTATATGTACTTGCTGAAGTTGTGATTTCTCTTCTATACCTGGGTGTATATCTGGGGACCTTTCCCAAGTCTATATGACAATATACTACATGAGCTACCCAGACAATGTTGTTTCTGAGCAATATTTATAAAGCATACATACAGGAAAAAAAAAAACAAACTTAGGTTTTTCATATCTAAATCATTTGTCCCTCTTTCCAGTGCTAGTCACATCTCTTCCACAGGCTTTAAAGCATGCTTGTAAGAAAGGGAGCTGGGTCAACTTTGTTTGATAAATGCATTATCAGAAATCCTTGTGCTCTGATTGTTAATGAATCACTAGGGACAGTAGGAAATATTGTTTTAATGCTACACAGGAATATCCATCATGAAAGACAAATTTAGTGTAAGAATTAAAGCATCCGTAGAATGTTGAACCTACCCAATGCAGAATATATGTTTGTATGTGTAAATTGTATTTGCTTTGTACGAGTCTAGAATTACACTCAATTGTGTTTTCTTAGAAAGTTGGATAACTTGAGTGCTAAGGAAACCCACAGGTCATTTTTTCTTCCCCAATATGTTGTTGTTTAACTAAAAAACAGTACTATTTTTCTCATGCATACAAGAATTTTGACCATTCTTGTAACTGCTTTCATGTCCTATAAATTCAGACCTTTTATTCTGATACTCTCTGGAATGAGACAGGTATTTTTCTGTCATTCTGCTGATACAAATGTTGAAACTGAAATCCTTCTGCATGCTGCGTCTGTCCCTTTCTTCTGGGAAAAAGTGAATTATCCCTAGGCTGTTCTTATTTGTTATGCATCAGAAAGTATATTTACTTCTTGGTTTTCAATTGGTATTGCCAATGTTGATGTTTTAAAAGAAAGGTCTAGACCCTTAACTGGTGTAGTAAATCATTTTAGACCTGTTAAAGTCTGCAGGCATACTTCTTTTGGTGTAGTGTATGTGAAGGGTATGGTTGGTTGATGCATTCTGCAGAAGTGGAGTTCAGTATGTGAGTACTTTCTGCGGAAGGACTCATGGATGTCTGAGTCTCATTGGGAGAATATGGCTGATAATTCTCCTGGTATAAAATGCAGGTCAGATTCTGATCCCAAATTGCTCGATAATTTCCCCCTCTTTCACTAGATCCAATTTCACTTTGCAACATCAGTAATTAACAACAAAAAAAATGAAAAATATGTTTACTGCATTTTCCATAATGTAATCAGATTCCTGTTCCTCTTGCATCTGAAAGTATGCCAACCATACCCTTGCAGCTGTAATTGGGTATTCTCTCCTGAGTTAACAGATGCTCCAAGTAACAAGAAAACATTTTGCATACATTTTTATTGGGAGATTTTTATTCCCTCCAATGGTTCCCTAAAACAAAGGCTGACGTGGGTGATCGAGGGAAGTTTCAACTTACCTGGTCCGAGCATTCTAAAATGTGGGATATTTGAGCTCCAATCAAAACTACCCTTGTTCATATTTATTGACTTCTTTCCACTTTTATGGCAGTTTGTCTCAAAAATTTCACGTGTGATACACATTTTTTTAAAATTAATGCAATCAGGTGAAAAAAAATAGTTATAAATCAATTTAGAAAGTTCCTAATCCCTGAAAGGGGAAGACATCCAAAAGCTGGTTAAGTTTAACGTGCTCTGAGAAAGCGGTATTGGTGAAGTCTCCGAGATGATCCTGTCATTATTTACGGTTGCTGTTGTGTCCAGAGACCTACCTGATCTGGGCATTGAATAAAGTACAAGGAGCGGTGATCTCCATGAGGTAGAGTCTATAAACCATCAAAACCAACACCTCCTGCATCAATATTCTGTTGTCTCTTCTCAGAGTCCAACAAAGATACTGCGTAGGATTCTTCTGTTACACCAACCCGTGTTTTGTGTAAATATAAAAATCACAGAATGTATCTATCATGTTCACAATGCTTATTTTATCCAGACTGGGACAGTTTTTACCTATTTCTGGTATAAACAGAGTTTTACCTACTTCTGCCAATAGGCTGATTTTCAAATATTGGTTTTGTCAAGCACGATCATGAGGGATTTGATGACAGTGCAGACCAGATGACATCAGAGAGCAGCCTGTTTCTCTGGGTTTTTTTCTTTGGAAGCCAAGCTTTAAAAATTGTGCCCTTTTCTTATAATTTAACAAAGGAAACTAGATCTCTTTTAATGATGCCTGCAGAACAGCTCTCCTCTGGCAGGAGACTTAGGAGTGCTTGCTACTCATATAGGATGCTTTAACAGATGCAAAGCAAGAAGGCTTGCTAGAACAGAATTTTCATTCTCTGATATGGGTTCTGGTTACATAGAAAAATTAAATAGCAATTTGGCATGGGGTAAGGAACATCCTAAGCATTAGAGCTGTGTTTTAATGCCATTCTCATTCACCATGCTGGAACCTGTATGCAGCTTCTATTGCTTTGTTTTAAATGCATGGGTTTGTTCTTGTTAAGAGCATCACTCAGTTCTCTGTACTGACCTTTCATGTTGTATCTGACACCCAGCAACTTCTTAATCATGTCTTTGTTTTTCACAGATTCTCATTCAAAGCATGACGTCCTTTTCACTAAATAAGCTGCATGTCTTATGTTTGCCATTGCTCTAAAACTAATTCTGTCTTTATTTTTCTTTTCTTCTCCCTTTTCCCTCCCATTTTATTTTTGTCACACACTATTTGTTCCCTGTCTGGTTTTTAACATTGCATAATCTTAAGGAGTGTGATAAGAATAAGACCACTGAAGCCACTTTTTTGGAACATCCTGACTTTTCACAGCAGATACATCACAGTAAAAAGCTTTTCAGTATTCCCGAAGTAGCTGAAGAGGATGGTGAATACTCTGAACTGCTGTACAAGCAGGGTTTAGGTATGCCCTATAAAAAGAATCCCACAAAAGCTAGAGACTCTAGACCACCTAGGCCCTACAATCAAGACCAGCAGCACAACTTCTGGTACCCAGCCAAGCACAGAATTTCAGGCATGGAGGATTTTGCTGCAGACGACAAAGGATGTAAATATAGCCGATCCTTATCGAGAAGCCCAGACAGTGGACTAGACTGTGGAAGTGAAGAAGAAGAATCTCGTTTTAATTTCAGATATACTTGCGATTCAGTTTCTGCCAACGTTGCGTGTAGCTGTTGCGCAGAGACTGCTAACAGTTCCTGCAGGAAAAGCATGAGGCCATTGCTTGCTCGCAGGAAAACTTTAACCAGACAAACCAGCATCGAAGAAGATTTTGGTGATCTGGGTCCTTCCTTTGTAGAGCCCAGGAGTGAACAGGTCAAGTCCAGTTACGAGAAAAAGTATGAGACTCAGAAATGTAATAGAACAGATAATTTGTGTAATGAAGATGTTCAGGGAGGCTGGAAGACCGACTTAAAAATGGCTGACTCTAGGGCAGCTGGTCTACTTGCAAAGCCATCCCACAGAGATGCAGAAGACTCTCTGGTGTGTGAAATAAATCTTCCTTCTAACATCTGCTTGCCAAATCAGTCTGTTGTCTTTCTTTTGTTCCTACTTTTTTTCTTTTTTTCTGAATTAATTTTTAGAGTCCATCCTTTGGACCTATCTGCTACATTTTTCCCCCCCTTTTTTTTTTTCCCCCTCTCCATTTATTTTAGTTTATTATTCTGCATTTTCCTTTACAGTCGTCTTTTGTGTCATGCTCAAATCAGTTTAATTTGCTTTACAATGATTTTCCCGCAGAACAAATTACAATAATGGCTGCTTTTATTAAAGGACAACTGAATCTAAATTTTAATTAAGGGTTAGCTGAACTATAATTTTTCCAAAAGATTGTTTTTCTTTATTTTGCCCATCTAAATGTTGCTTTTAAAAAAAGCTGCATTTTAACTGGAAAAATATTTCATCAGTGTTTGTTTTTTTAAATGTTGAGGAACTCATTTCATCATGTTGTTTTTATTCACCTCATTCCCATAATTTTCAGGATATTCTCTTTATCATGAAACATCTCCAGACAAGAATCAAGATTGTCCCCTGGGTGTGACAGTGACCCAGATTTATGGAGTCACAAGTTTCATCATATTTCCATTTTCTGCCTTATCTCTGCACTGCCACTACTTTGCCTTCCTTTTTAGACCATCTCTTCTTGCCTTTGAAGTTGCAGACTGCATCTCTGCGTGAGAATGCAGGCAAACAGCTTCTTCCCAAGGGAGAGGCCAGGGCCATTCCACATCTTCCAAGGACGCCTCTGCGTGGTCTTGCCTATTTGCCTTTCTGTCCATTACTCTGTAGCAGAGTCTCCCCGCTTTGATAGATGCATCCGTAGGCTTCCCAGCTCCCTAAAGACCAAAGCAAGTTCTTTACCCTCTCAATCTGCAACAGTCCAGAGTGGAAACCTCAAATCTAATGTGTTTCAAAGCAAGAGTAAAGAAATCAGCTGCCTGCTCTTCTAGCCTAGCTGTTTATGCTGAAATGATCCTTAAAAATTTCTCCCATTAAAATTGGTGCCCAAGCTGTATTAATCTCAATGGCTGCATTTAAATAGTCCCATTTAGTTATTAAAATAGCTCCATTTTCTGCAGGGGTAGTGAACAGAGAGACAGCTGTGATGTGAGACGAAGTGTGCCTACATTCCCTTCTACATGTTTCGGTGACCTTTAAAAGGCTTTAATAATCGAAGGCCGTTAGAGAAAAGCAGCGTGCTCAAAGACAGAAGGACGTACGCTTGTTCACATGCTGCAAACTGGACAAAGCTCTGTAGCCAAACACACAAAAGGCTTGCCTTTGCAGTGCAGTCCAATCTCCACAGCTCTAATGACTGGTTGTGGCTACTCTTCAGGAGGTATTATAACGTCATCTTAGCAGCAACAACAAAGGCAAAAGAATATTTCAAAAATTATTCTTTTCTTTTCTTTTTGTTCTGATGTGTGACTGCTGGTTACAAAACTCTGCCATAAATCAGGAAACCATTTTTTTTTCTTTGCAGGTTTGCCAGGCAACAGTATTTACTTTTCAGCTAACCTTTCAGTTAAAAACTAAGTTTAGTTGCCTTTAGAGCTTATGCTTCCAAATGTGATTGACCTGATTGATGTCCAGCCATATAACCATAATGTTACCATGCATGTAACTTACAAACCTGTTTTTTCTGTTGTTGTTTTTTTTTTTAGCTTTTAGGTAATCCATCATCTGCAGGACGGCCTGAAAGGGCGGAGCATGCAGGGCGAAGGTCCTCTCATGGCAGTGCAGTGCCACAAAGGTCTCGACCAATGTTGGTCCCTTCCATTGGTTAGTTGGACAGATTGGTGCATTTCTGTTCTTTGCAGCCTCAGAGTTCGGAAGGTGGTCCTTAAAAAAGAAACAACAGACACTTGTCTTGAACCATGGTTACTCTTAGTTGAAATGGGATGAAATGGAATTAAAAGCATTTCCATCCAAGTATGAGTGTGCTGGGGTCTCGCAGGGGCTCAGTCAGTAGTCATTGACATCTCCAGGAGTCTTTTCATTAAATTTAGTGGGTATTGGAGCTTTTCTAAGCTTGGTTAAGCTTGGATAATGTTAGATCTTACCCAAAAAGAATTTTTCAGGCAGGCTACTGTATGATCAGTAAAATAAATGTACCCATTCAGCCATCCATTCAGCCATCCATCTTTCCATTCATCAACCATCATTTTGCATTCACTTTCCATTTTCTTGACTACTTTTTGGAATTTAGCAGGAAAAGTGGAAGCTGTTAAATATAATAAGTTAGTAGAACTTACATATATTTACTAGATTTGATATGTCTTCCAGAATCATCCCTATTCTGATTTACTTATGACTTAAACTAAATGCTGGTATATACCAGAAAATCCAAAAAGTAGTGCAGAAAAGATAATGGAATGAAGACACTCTGGACAAATACATATCTGTTAAGACTTGCACTCTATACTGACAAATAGGAAACATTCACACTGAAAATCAGGAAACACATGCAAAACAAAAGCAGAGACGAGTTCTGCGAGCTATTAGCAGAACTTTACTCCATGAAGATGCAGAGTCAGTCCCGTTCCTGTCCCTAACCTGGACTTTAATTTGTGGATACTGTAGGCGTCATCAGGAGGAGAGGGAAGCAGTGTCAGCCAGTTCTCACCTGACATTTATGTGAAAAGAGATGTCACAAGTGGCGATTATCAGAAGGAAAGAGACTGATCATTAAGGAATGCTTTTATTTTAAATATTTTCCCCTTTTTGTAGACTCACACTAAAATGCCTGTACTGCAAATTAAAGGCAAAATCCCCCTAGGTGGGCACAATTATTTTGATACCTAGTAGATAGTAATTATTATTGAAATCGTAGGTCAGAAAACATATATAGCTGTAACACATGAAGCTCAGTGTCTTCAGTATAGCATGGCTGTTCAGAGGCTGATTCTCATCCCACATCCTGGTGTAAACCAAGATAACCTTCACAAATGTCAATGGGATTACACTGGTATGAAAATGGGACGGGGGAAAGTCAGCTCCAGGGAGGCTCTTGTGCTTCTACTGACAAGTATTGTTAGGTGAATCAAATAGCTTTTGGGTGATGGTGTGAAGACTGTTAGATTTTCATGTCTTTCTTTCTTTTTCTTTCAAAGCAGCCTTTTTTTTTTTTTTTTTTTCTCAGGAGTAAAGATTTCTGGTTTATGTTTGGACTATTAAAGCAAGTTTTGTATTTAATTTCTTTTATATTGTCTGCTAAAACATTTTTTTATAAATAGTGGGAGAGTAGACAGGTTTGTTTGAATTAATCCTTTGGGTTTCCTTTTAGTTTTAATTTTAATTAAAAAATAAGGGAAGTGATTAAATTTCTCAGAGCTCCCTTTCTGTCAACAAAGTTAGGACACGACAACCACAAAGTAATGACTTCACTGTTTAGTAGTTCAATAGCAACAGCTTCGGAATCAGATAAATTAATTTCTGATAGTCAATCTGTGCCCAAACAGATAATTAAACAGAAAATAAAATCTCAGATTTTATTTCTTTCAGTGTAACTTAAAGAATGAATTAGTGTATTTTGCATTATCTACAATCCACAAACGCTCTTTGGGAAAGTTCCATGAGGAATAAATTACAGTATTGCCAAACTGCTGAGCATTATGTACAGTATCTAAATTAAATTTGCTGAAAGATATGTATGCATTATTTCTCACATTCAGTATCATACTGTAAAAAAATCACTCTGAGGATAAGTGAAGCAAATATAAACACTTGATAAAACTGCACAGAAGTTGCTTCCTGTAAACCTGCTGGAAAGAAAATCTAGAAGATATGTATCAAGAGGTCAGATAAATAAAATGTGGTAAAAGTAGGACATCCAAAAGCATATAGGAGAGCACTGTATAAACTTGAACCCACTGTTCAGAACTCCCACTGACAGAGGAAGTTTCCCATGAATAAGGGCTGCAAGTGTGGTTTCTGAAGAGGAAGTTGTTATAGTTGTGTCATTATAATATGTAGTTCCACAAACTGAAAAACAGAGTAAAATAAAAGGAAATAAGAAAGTTAATACAATTGAGACAAAGTTTGGACTGCTTAAATACATAAAACTGTTGTTGGCCTCCCCATATAACTCAAAAATGTGGATTCCAAATTTCTTGGCAGCAGCTTATTCCTTTACATAGATGCCTGGAGTTTCGACTGAGTTATTCAGCTAAAGGGTCACTGTAGTGATGGAAAGTTCTTAAGGCAGCTCTGGGAGGTTAAACTAGTGGGAAAGACCTTCAAAATTGTAATGTTCTTAGGATTCCAATGATAAAACCTTTCTCCAAAATGTTCCACAATTTAAATTCTTAGAGGTATATTCTCCATTAATCTAGAAATACTTTGGATTACTATCTTCTTGCAGGTAGGATTTAAGTAAATTAATTAATTTTTGTTTTTAGGTTGATACTTTAGAAGGTGAAACACAGTTTACAGTGCACTTGACCTTGCAGATCTGGCAGGTAGGATTGTTTAAACCTCATAATAAAAGATGATTCCTATCCAAAGAGCTAACAAACAATATTTACACTGTATGAATTTTAAAAAGCACAAAATTCAGATGCTTTAAAAAAAGGAGATACACGTTTCTGTGATTCCCCTGCTGAAGAAGGATTTCTAGAGGCTGAGACATCTGGCAAAGCTTATGCAGTGTTTAGCCTTCCTACTATATGCAAGTCAGAAAAAAAGGGTAGGCAAAGCTTGCCCGCAGGAGCCTCCGCAAAGGCAACTCTACAATATGTTTTAATAGATCATTCCCTTTTTCTCCATAGAAATTACAATGGACAGTAACAGTGAAGGCGGTCGGTCTCGGTCAGGTAGTGAGGGAAATATTTCACCTGTAAAAGAAGAAGCTTATTATCGCAGCATTGGTGGACACAAGAAATGGCCTCAGCAGCGTACCATGGCCTCTGAATATAGATACGGTATGCCGAACATTATTCATCCTTTATGCCAGACACGTTTTAGAGCTGCGTGTTAACAAGTGCGGTTTCTGTATGACAACATTGCATGCAATGCAGAATGCCAGGGGAGCTAGCTCTTGAGTCCTGTCTGCTCTCAGGTAAGTTTCTCCAGCTGAGCTGTAAGGGTCAAACAGCCCTCAGTCCTCTGTCCTGACACTGCTGTGCAGCCACCTCCATACTCGACTGAGTCCGAGCACACTGCATTGCATGCACCTCTGTGAAGCTATGCTGCTACTAACGCCAGTCAGTATTTACTGTATACACCTGAGAAACCATTCATCAGAATGACCTCATTTCCACTTGACTCACATGGACTGGACAGGCACAGACAGTAGCTGGTATATCACAACCCAACATCCCGTAATAGGAACATTATCCTGATTTATGGCTTGGGCTAAATGAAGACTTGGGGTCTTTGCAACGACCACACAGAACTTTGTCTGTGTCACTTGGTGAAGAGAAAAATTATTCTTAATTTTAGGAATAATTGTATCATAACAAACTTGTATTACACGAGTAAGGCAATTATACCCTCTAGTGATAGTATTTGTTGCTTCATCAACATAGAAATCATTACATGATCAACAACTCAGTTTTCATAGTTCATAACACGGTGAATTGAAGTGTATAACGCAACCCATAAAAGGAGCCCAGGCCATATATAGAGCTAAGAAACATATTGGGGTTTTATTGATGTCTGAAATGAACAAAAGGGGCCCTGAAATTTTGGGTAAATCACAATTCAGTGTTGGCTTTCAAAGCAGACGTATCTGAGTGACTTACAACCAGATCGTCAGCTTGTGTATATCTCCTGAATTCAATGCAACTGGGGTTGCAACTATGGATCTGTTGGGAATCTGGCTAGCTGCATCCAAAGGCAAAGATTTTACATACACAATTACATGTGTGTATATGTATGAGATATGTGTATACCTCTTGGAAGAATAAGATAAGTGAGCAATGAGTTAATCAAGAGATTATTTTCTTTCTGGTTGACTGAAGCAAACATGACTCTTCAGAGTCGGATTGCTGCAGGTCAGTGCTTTTATCAGAGATACATTTGGCCATAATTCCTGTTTGCACCCGACTCCTATTTGTTGCAGTTGGAGTTGGATGCAAAAATTGATACTTTTAATTTAAAAAACAAAACACCCCTTAACCCCCCTGTTTTACGTTGTCTGGTGGGCCTGAGTATGAACCCCAGAATGACCGCAGCCTGACTGTGGGAGGAGAACAGAGCAGAGAGGAATCCCATCCTGTGTGTCCCATTGCTTTCTGTCCCACATGAGCCCTTCTCCCACACTTCCTTTCTGTGCTTTGTGCCTGCCTAAAGCTTCTTGGCTGGAATTTCTCCCTGCCCTTTTGCTGTTCTGCATTTTCCCTGTTCACTTTCTTTCTTGCACTCTGGACCCAAGAGTCAGTAGCTGTTCCCTTAAAGCTGTGACCCTCTGAAAATTTTTTCTGGTAGTTTAAAATAGAAAATGTTGAATAAAATGTGTCTGATGTTGAGGCAAGAAGAGGAATTTTATCTAAAATGTTCCATATTGACTGTTCAAACTATTACCAAAAATGGGAGTCTGTAATTTGTAAGACATGATTACAGTAAAAATTGTATTAATATAAATATTGTTTGGAAAAATTATAATATAGTTGAACAGCATTTTCATTGTAATTCATAACTTTGCTTTCTCAATTTATTCATTGTGAAGCATATTGTAAACTGGATGATAAGTGTTGATTCAGCAAAGAACAAAAGTACGTGACTCCCACTGGAGCTAGCTCAATAAGCCAGGCTTTTCAGAAGTGGCTTGTGATTTTGAGGGTTTTATTTTTGGGGTTTTCAACTTCACATGTCTTGAAAGAACCTATTATTTGGGAAGGTGCTGCCACACGCTCTTTCAAAACAGAATTAAAAGCCTTTGAAACTCGTCAATCATTGTTATCCATTTTGGCCTAATTTTCTAATTCAGGTTTACTGAAGTCCGTCCCTAAGCCTGTTGTTGAATCACGGACTAAATGCATTCTCCAGGTCACTTGAAAAGTCTGAGAGATGTATGAGACAAAATGTCGGTTCTCATTTTTTATGTCCTAATTGATTTGGTACCCTGCAGTCGACAGAGTTCAGTGCAGTGTCGAGTGTTGGGATATTCATGGATGATCTTTCCTAATGAGTTTATAGTTCAGTGCAGTCATAGCTCACCACTCCTGGATTTTAACACATCCCGTTAGTGTTTGGGTTGGTTTGGGGCACTGCTGGCTATGGTAACTATTGACCACGTTTAAACAAAACCATAGGCAGTGTAGTTCCAACCCTGGCGTACCTAACACTGCTGAAATATATTTCTTCTTGCCTGTCTGGAGAGAAGAGGTTATAACCATGTTTTAAACCTGGTACCTAAAACATGGTGTCAACACAGCTGGGATGTGCTTTCTTGTGTCCATGAAGAGCAGAAGCAGCTGTGCTGGATAACAGGTGGATCCAAAGCATGGTTATTTTTGCAGTAATGATAAAGCCTACCAGACTCATCATTCTGTCACTCTTAACATGCTTCATTAACTTATGGCAAACTCTAGTAAACCTAACAAAAATTGCTTTCTGACCTGAGCTGTATTCACTTGTCTAAGTGGCAGTGTGGTGTAGGAGATCAGCACCACAGTCAGTGCATGCAGATTGTGTATGCTTTTAAGAAAAATAACAAATTTCTAATAAAAAAAAAAGCCACCAAGCTTAATAGGACATGCATTAAGTTATTGCACTGAAATGCCAAACATTTTTCAAATACTAACTGGAATAGCTGAAAGATGAGGCCAGCTTGTATTACTGAATTGTTCTTTTCTGAATTTCCTTTCATAGATGGCTATGGTGGTCATGACCATCTTTCTCCAGATATTTATGAAGAATCAGAAACAGATCCTGGCACAGAGGATATTTCTACTCGAATATTTGTTGCACTCTTTGACTACGATCCACTGACAATGTCCCCAAATCCCGATGCCGCAGAAGAAGAGCTGCCATTTAAAGAAGGACAGATCATTAAGGTGGGAGCTAAAACCAAAGGAAACAAAGGGTGGACCCAGTTTTACCCTCTGAAACAGGGTCTCCTTTGTTCCCCATGGAGAAGGCAACTTGTGTGACTAGAATCTAAGGGGTTTTTTCCTCTAGAGGTTCAGGCTGTAAATCTTACTGGAACTGGAAACTAATAACTAATGCTAATGGCTTAAAAATAATTAGAAAAACAGATAGATAGAGCCTGACTCAATTAGAGATTAGGTGCTCAGACCAAAATTGTGACTCTAAAGCCCCTATGTCCGTTGCCACAAGCTCTGCAGGAAAAAACTCCTTCAGAGAGGATGTCTTTCCTGCAAAGGCACCACAAAAGTGCTTAGTGTTGTACCTCCATACACACCAGAGCTGCTGTGGTTTTTTTAAATGTTGAACACTCCTAGCTAGCGTGCACTTAAGGTTAATCAACATCCAAAAATTAGGTATTGCTGTTCCAGAGTCATCCTCTTCTGAAACTGGGCAAACCACTCTCTTTTCTGTCTGTTTGGTCTAAAATACACAAGTCGCTTTTGAACAGGGCACAAGAGGCAAGCCAGCCTGTTTCAGGTGACAGGGACAGTGTCAGGCTCAAAAATATTGTCTGTTGTAGTTTTACCCTGGCTGGCAGCAAAACACTACAACAAACATAGACTCATTTGTTACACCACCCATTTCAAAGATAAAATTGTAACTTAAGCTATTAGAACACTGACTGCTTCCTGCTGTGTTGGACTGGATCCTAACACACGTCCATATCCTAAATTGCAATTTTTGAGTGTTAAATACTTTGTTAGATATCTTGCTTTCCTCTTTACATGATAGAAGATTTATGCCCAAAATATGGAACTTGTTTAAGAGTGTATTTTCCTTTGCAATATTCATGTGCTCAGGTATTTCAACCATTTCTTCACCAATATGTACCAGTTTGGCACTGAAAAGTCCAGACAGATCCCACATCAGATATTTATTCTCAGTGATGTTTATTTTATATGTGGGACCGTGGTGACTGACTATATGATCTGCTGCTTTGAATTTCTTATCAAATTGTTGTGAAGATGGAGTAGTTTGCATTTGCAAAATACTTTTCACACATTACCAGAGCCCTGGGATGCAGGAGGGTCGCTTCCCCCACAAGCTGTAGGAAGCCTGTCCCATACGTGTGTCACGGTCACATATGGTGCGCGCTGGGAGGTGGTGGTGGTGCCCGGTAAATCATGGATATGTAGCGATTAAACGTGAAAAACGTGACTGCTCTAGAAAGTTGAGGCTATTGAAGATCATTTTTAATTAACTCTGATTTGAACGGAAAGGATTAGTTTGGGGTTTTTTGTTTGTTTTTAAAGAAAAAACAATTGAGCCTAAACAAGGAACGATCTAAACTCAGTCATCAGTTTGGCCTTAAGAGCATCATTTTTGTTTAGTCCAGTCCTTGATCCAGGCCTTCATGAATTGACTGCATTTTTAGAATTTAAAACAAGTTTTGGATCTGCCTGTTCTCACTGATGAAAAGTCATGCTATTTTTATACCTTAACTCATGTTTTCTGGAAAGGAATAGCAGAGTTAAGTACATATATCAAGTATATCAGGTATCAGCCAGCATTTTCAATGATATATAAGTTGCTCTATTCAAAGTAGCTCCACTTGGCAGAGTTTTGCAAATGCTTCATTTTGAATATAGTTCATATGGCACCAAAAATGATGCCATGCGAGTAATTCCGTAAACATGAGTGTAAACCAGTAGGTATACTTTTGGCTCAGCACAGGGAGAAACTGATGACTTTAAATGGTGTCTCTTACTTTTTGTGCATTTCACTGCTCACTAAGGACCAAATTCTGCTTATGGATCTGAAGTCATAATTCAAACTAACATAACAATCCCAGCTTTGTAACATAGTAGTCAAACACTAACAAAATGCCACATCCAAACTGAAGTCATCTGTCTGTGCTTTAGTAGCTATTTAGCCTGTGTTAAAATTCCTAAGTGCTAAAGCCTTTGTTGACCAGCATTATCACTCTTCGACTACCAGGTTTATGGGGACAAAGATGCTGATGGATTCTATCGTGGAGAAACCTGTACAAGAATTGGCCTTATCCCGTGTAATATGGTCTCTGAGATCCAAGCAGATGATGAAGAGATGATGGATCAGCTTCTAAAACAAGGCTTTCTTCCTTTGAACACACCGATTGAGAAAATTGGTAAGAAAAAACATATATGCTTTACTTCTCCCAACTTTTGGGTGCTATTAACTTGGCTGGATCTGCTTTGCCTTTTTTTTTTTACTATATGTAGATGCATCTAAATTTTTCAGCAATTAATTACACCACGGGATCCATTCTGTGTCAGTATCTGCATGACTTTATTCAACTAGTATTTAATCTTGGTTACATCTGTTGCTGCAAATGAGGACTTGTATCTTCACACTCCCCTCATTATTTTCTCTTCTTATTAAAAAAAAAAAAAAAAAAAAGGGTTTTGTCACCTGACAGATTTCTAGATACAGAACATGATCCCTGTGCTTTGGAGTGTGCTGTGCTGAGGTGCTTTGTGATATGCTCACTGCTGCAAAGCCTAAAAAGGATCACTTCTTTGTTGTTATTTTTGTTCTTCTACATTTTCCTACTTTACCAGTAATTTAAAGGGATGGTGGCAAAGGGTTATGTGTAATCTCATTTGGGATAGCACTACGTATTTCAAGATTTTTATGGATATTGCAGTGACGAGCCCTTTAAAAAGCAGAGTTTGGCCAAACAGTTCTGTGCTGTGAACCACTTGTGTTACGTCGTTGGTTCAGTGTTGTACACAGACACACAATGCAAGTATCTTAACTCAGATGTCTTCCCAAAAATAAATTTCATACAACTATCTCGATATGTTTTAAAATTTTCAACATGATTCTGAGAGTATAAAGGGCTGGAATTGGTTCAGTCCTGTTTAAAAGTGAACTGTAAAAGTGGTTGCTAAAAAAACCAAAGAAATCTTCCACAGTGCGCTTCTTAGATTGAATAAAACCTTATTGTTTCCAAAACCATATTAGTAAATGTAAGATAAATTATTTTTTGTTGTTTTTTTAAGATATTGAGAGATTTTAAAATTTTTCGTTATCCGTCAAAGGGAAGGATGATTTAAGTTCTTGAATGCTTAATTGAGTTCTTAATTCAAACCTGTGTATTAATTTACTTATGCCACATAAACAAACAAATATTCCCACCCACGTGCCCTTGTAAACCCCACTGCCCATCTGCTCCTGTACGTACAGCACACACACCTACGTGGACATTTATAGGGGACAAACCTGGGATAGGCACAGGGGGACGAGGCTGGCTGCCCACAGCGTTACTCTGCACAAGCAGTCGTTTGGGGTCTGCATCATTTGAAGTCTGTTAGACACCTGACCTGCTTGGGGTACATCTGCAAACACAACCAGGGGCCTGGTGGCACTAAGAAGTGTCTAAATATTTTTCTACTTCTAGCAATGAGGTCACACATGGGTACAGAAAATATCTTCCTATAGTTGAAACTTACTGCTTTAAGCCTGCTCCGTGCTCTCAGTTCTTACCAAAGTCAGATACAGATACAGAACGCTTGTGAAAAGGAAACCACTAGTCTACATAGCTCCCCATAGTTTGAATATTTTGGCTGTCGAAGGGTCATATAATTGGATTTTTTTTTGTTGTGCTCAACTGGCAATGTCTCCTGAAATAGCTGAGAAATCAGAAATTCTCTGTCTTGGAAAGAGGGAGAGGCAAATTGTGGCAGGAGTGTTGCCCTGCCTTTATGTTTTTAAGCAATTCTTTTTATTCTGGGATGTTTCTGGGCCAGCTGTTAGCAACCTACCCCCAGCAGTTCACCTTTAAATACTTCAGTACTTTAAAAGCATCATGTATTGTCTCTTTAATATGGATTTAAGTTGTTAGCCATTTTAAAAACAAACCAACAAACATCAACAAATGCTTTTACTAACCGATTTTGAAAGAACAGTTAGTTTGGCTTAATTTTAAACTAAATACAAATTCTGAATAGCAGAGCTCCACGTGCTCAGAGCCTCGCTGTCAGAGGCTGCTCACGTGGATTTGTAGCAGCAGAAGCCGACTCTAATTGCCGGTCTGTCTCATATTGTTACTCATATTTTTAATGTCATATCAGACACTTTACATGCTGTGTTTATATGACTATATTTTTCTTAATCCTTTGCCCACATGAAATCCTTAAAAAACAGAACTCTGAACAGCTTCATATCTCTTCTTCTTTTATTTGTATGCATTCCTTTCCTGAAGTCAACTGTGACCGTTTCAAAGAGAGCACACGCTCTGTACACCGCAGATCCAGAAAGTCTAAAAGAGGTCTGTGCTAAGAACCAATAATTCCAATAATTTGATTCAAGCTGTAAATTAGCTGAAATTATTTGAGCTGTGTAGATTTATTTTTTTATGCCTTTGAACTTTTGGAAACCAGAAGTTGGAAAATATTGTCACATATCAATTACATATAGGGTCCCTTTTGGATTCTCTTCTTGCTCGTAGAGGGGCCCCTGTCCCCGAGCAGTGGGCAATGTCTTGCCCCAGTGCAGTACTTCAAAATGAAAGTACGACTCTGAGACAGACATCTAGGTGTGGGTTGATCCAGGCTTTGGGGAATCAGGGGGATGGGGTCCCACATCTGTTCCAGTCCGTGCCTTCATTTGGATCCCTCCTTGTGTTCTGTGTAAATCCCTTGCATTGGTAGCTGGGAAAATAACTCCGAACTACCCACTGCAAAAGCCCATGATCTCTGACCGAGTGCTTCAGTGTCAGCTGTGGGTGGTGTGAGAGCCCTGAGCGCATGCCACCCTCCATATTTGCTCCTACATCAGCTGAACCCTTAATGTTCACCCTCCTGCCGGAACAATTGTAGGGTGCCTCCTAACCCTGGTTTCCTTTGTCACACTGCATAACGCTCATCAGACTGCCCTCGGTGCCTGTCTGTAAGTAGCACTAACAAGCATGTTTCTCTTGCTACAGCACCCATCCGCAGGAATCATGCTAGTATCATTCCAATTGAAAATGAAGCCCAGTTTGGACTTCTCTGTTAATGTTTAATATTAATCAATAAACATTTCATGTGGTTCCTGGAAACTACAGATTTCACTCCTTCCCTTCTGCTCCCCACAAAGGAAATTTATAAAATTAAACAGCACTTGAGGATGTGTTTTTGTAGTTAGAGCCTTGAAAATATTGCAAACCACTTACATAACGGGTGGCCTCTTTTGTCTTGGGACAGCTGAGAGTGTCTGTGTCTCCTTCCAGTCTCCCAGCAGAAAGTTGAAGAATAATCCCGGGCACAAAATTCCTTGTGATTAGGAGGGGGGAGGGAATAGGCAGTAATGCAAAAGGTTGAATAAAATGAAACAAACATCAACTTTGAATGTTTGGCTTTGTACACCCTGGTAACCTCTGGTTCTTAAAACCAAGAATGGCTGAAAAATTCAGAATGTTAGTTTTGTGGATAAATCCAGTTCAGAGGACTCAGTGGCTTAGAACAAAGAAGGCAATCCAAGTGTTAAAAAATATTTATGAAACATACATTTTGTTTTGAAACCTTTATCTGTGTCAATAGGTTTGGTAATGTGTGATCTTTTCTCACTATGCTAGAGAAATATCACCATTGATACTGCACTGTTGTGAAAATGTGGGGAAAAATTGCACCTTGTTTTTCTTTTCAAAATAACTTTGATAGCTTTCCTTCCTTTCCTCTCCTTGTGATTGGAACAGAAAGAAACAGACGGAGTGGCAGACAACACTCAGTGTCTACACGAAGGATGGTGGCGCTGTACGATTATGATCCAAGAGAAAGTTCTCCCAACGTTGATGTAGAGGTATTGCCATCGCGGTTTACTGTGTTCGCCATTCATGGAGCCATACCACAGCTGGCATCGATAAGCACTACTATACATTTACAGTGGATGTAAAAAAACCCCAAAACCAGTTCAGAATTACAATTAACTACATTATGGGTCTATCGTCTTCCATTCACCTACATGCAGTCTCCAGTCTCTCCATATTTGTCATCAGCAACAATGGTATAATTTTTTATATTGTCTTTAATGTTATATGCTAAGTCCCTCAATCCAGATTTGATGCAATTTTCATGTATATATGCTTTGTGGTAAGAATGTCAGGGTACACTCAATGCTCTAAAAAAATTCTGCATACCTAGGAGCTTCCTCAGTTATCCTTTGAAATGGATTTTTTTTTTCTTTACTTGGTGTAGAACAGTTTTGAATTTTTTAAAGGTGAATTTTGAAATATGTGGGACTTGATGCTTTAAAACTCAGAGTTGCCTTATATTTCTCACTGAAGCAGATCTGTTTCTAAATTATGGTGTTTCAAAGTAGTTTGGGAAAAAATAAAATAAATTGTACTGATATATTGCAAACATTTTATTTGTTCTCACCTTTCCCATGGGCACTGGAAATTAAAAATAAGTTGTTAAAAAAAACCCAATTAAATTGCATTGAAACAACAGGGCATTACAAAGAGCCCAGTACACGGGTTGCAGATCAGAGACAGGAGATGCCTGTTAGGAAGCTTTATTGACCAGAACCCAGTACAGCTCCACAATTTCCGTTCAGGAACACTGTGTTTCAGGAGAAGCAGTCGCAGCTGTTCTCGTACCTGTCAGTCCTAGCGCTCTGCTCCATACAAGAGTGTGGACTCGAACCATCTCCCACCCCTACATCTTGTTCCCACCTCACGGAAGGATTGACTTTAGGGGATTTTTGAATTTATGCAGTTTAAAGCTTCGAAGTCTGTTCAGGTTGTTCCAGGCTTTGGGCACTATCTTGGCTCGTTTGTCACAGGTAATCCTGTGGGTATCTAGAACCTAGTGAAAGAGGTGTTGTATTTAACAAGGTGGGGGGGGGGAGGAAGGGTGGGGAAAGTTTTGAGAGCAAAGTTCCATTTGTGTTTTAACATAAAGGAGAGGGAAAAATATTAATGGATTTACTATTCGTAACAAAAATGTTAACCTGTGCCTAACAACCCATGACCTTCCATGTGTTCCTCTTTCTGCAGGCTGAGCTGACATTCTGCACAGGGGACATTATCACTGTCTTTGGTGAAATTGATGAAGATGGATTTTACTATGTAAGTTGGTTTCTGGTCACTTCCAAGTGCTACAAACTGTTAGAGCTCTCTTCACTAGCATGAATTATTAAATGACAGCTGGGGGGATTTCAGGCTGCAATTCCAGCTCATGTTGTGGGAAAA